CCCCCATCTAACACCCCCCTCCCAGGCGTCCCCAACACCGCCGTCTTCACCTTCAACAAAGAAGACCACACCCTCGGCAACCTCCTCTCGCAGCGCCTCCTCAAGAACCCCGCCATCATGTTCGCCGCCTACAAAGTGCCGCACCCGCTCTTCGCCACCTTTGAGCTGCGCGTCCAGACCGACGGATCCATTACCCCCAAGGAAGCAGTCATGAAGACGTGCAGGGAGGTCATTGCCGATTTGAGCAAGTTGAATGATAGTTTTCAGACCGAGTGGATTGGAAAGAGGATTGTGAGTGAGGGTGAGGCGGAGAGGGCGATGAGGGAGCAGAATAATTTCTAGAAAAGGGGGAGAGGTGGCATGGAAAGGCGTTTTCTCATGGAAGGTGAATGCTGCGATTCACGATTTATGGCGTTTTTGGCGATGATGGCTTTAGGGGCAATACGAATTTTATCGAAGAATGAAATATATCACCTTGTGCGTATTGTCGAGCTTGCGAAGTGGATTTTGTGATGTGATTGCTGTGAGATTGTGACTCGTGGTTGAGAAAAGGGGAGCGAGTATTACTTGTTGTTAACATTTCGAAGATATCACTCCTAACAGCCAAATGGTCATTTTATCTATGTTTGCGACACATCACGACCAGAAATGTATATCGTGTCCGTTCATGCAGTTTATTTTGTTATGCCTGACATATACTTTTGACCATACTCTCCTGATACCCTGTTCCAGAGGCGAACAAAGAGGAAGGATATAAGTTTATCTACTCCCCATCCTCAAGATGAGACCATCGACCCGATGTAGGTCTAGTCGCCAGAGGCACCTCCTGCTCCGAAGCCACAGTCTTATCCTCTTCACCCACAGCCACAGACTCCGAAGCTTCGGGTGCATCCGTTGGCGTAGCACCCTCGTCCTCCCTTATAATCTCACTGCTAGAACTACTAGTCTTCTCCTTCTGCTCCTCCTCTTCCTCAGCTGCCTCCCAATCTTCAGCCACCTCAACAGGCGTCTCCTTCTTCTTTTTCTTGCTGCTCAGACTCAAGACTGCAAAGCCGCCCTTGTTGCCAAACGGCGTGCTCTTCTGCACCTGTCGGGTAGGAATACCCTTTGATGCTGCGACTTGGCTCCATCCAGATCCAGGTCCGACGTCGGATTCTTTGCGGAGAACTGTCAGAGTCGAGTCAAGGCGTGCGAGCTGGATTTTGCCAATGCTTTGCGCGTTGAGAGCTTGGGATAGCGGTGCTCGGATGGATTCGAGCATAGCTTGCATGTCGGGTTCTGGGATGCTAAGACGTGCTGCTAGAGGCGGCTTCAATGCAACTGACTCGTCCGAGAGAAATGTAATTTCCAGTTCGCAGCGGAACGATGTAGTTGCCAGTACACTCTTGATGATAGGAGCGAGTTCCTCTATAGTGAGGGCGAAGCGAGGATTGAGGATAAGGAACGCGTTGTATGGATCAGCATTCATAGTGCTGGCCTTAGGACGTGGCGTTGCAGATGAAGAGGCAGCTGAAGCCGGTGCAGGAGCAATACGCTGTTGGACCTGGCGAGTGCGTGCACATTCTGCAAGTGTTCGCATTGGTGCCATGACAAACTTCGGAGTTTTGAAAATGGCCACATGGCGATGAGGCTCTGGGTCCATACTCTCAGAATCCATGCCAAAGTCCTCTGCAAGTGAGTGTATGAAGGCGCGCTGGTTGCGAGGCATGGGCTTGAAACGGAGGCGTTTCTCCTCCGGATCAGCTGCGAAAAGTCGTAGTTGCTTTTCTTGCGTGGCTGCCCAAGTAGAATTTTGTTGATACATGTTCAACGTGGCATCGGAATAGGGGATATGGTCGTTTTGGTGGGTTGGATCGACGTTGAGAGCAAGTGCTAGAACTCGGTTTCGCTCTAAGCGTGCGCATTCGTCGTCGCACTTGAGATTCTTTTTCAGATTACCATCGCTATTCTTTGAAGCGTTACATTTGGCCTCTTGCTTGATTCTCTGGCAATCACAGGTGACGAAAATTTTGTGTGGGCAAGGCTTCTCCTCTGTACATGGATGTGGAAAATGGCATGGAGCCAAGCAAGGATGACCACAGGTGTTGAGCTCCTTTCCACAGGCCTGAGTGCAAGGCTCTTCACATTCCCCAGGTCGGTGACATTGCTTCTGGCACTTGTGTGTGCCGCACTTGAGAGTACGACCACACACCTGGCCACAGCGAACTTCGTTTAGCCAACATGGCTGATTCTTAAGAACACTCTTGCCGCACAAACATGGTTTCGTAGTCAAGAACGCACATTTGGGGCAAGCTTGGTCGTCCTGATGGCAGCTGTGGTCCAGCTGAGGATGGCCACATTCCTTGGGCCGTTCGCACTTGAATCGGCAAGGGGGTGGTTTGGTACCACACGGTAAAGGAGGCTGCAAGACAGTGCGTCCGCAATTGCAACTGAGTTCGTCGAAGATGGCATCACGACATGTTCCGCAAGGGCCTTTGTGACAAAGTTCCTGGCAACGGTGCTCAGGATTGCCGCATTTCAACTGGCGGCCACAACTGCGGGTACAAATATGCTCTGATTCAAAGTTTTCAAGGGGCCGACGAGGAACTGAGTCCAGTGGTCTCGGCTTGCGACGGTTGGATTGCCGCTCGGCAGCCTTTTTCTCGCCAGCACAGCAGCGTTCGCCACACTCGTGTCGTCCACAGTTCAACGAGACACGGCAGACGCGCATACACTGAGGAGGCTCTTCGGTTCCCTGGTGGCATATCGTCTGGGAAGACGTACGGCCGCATCTGCACGAAATGTTGACTTTCTCCAGGCATGGTCGACACTCGCCCTGATGGCAGTGTTGCCGGCATTTATGTCCGCATGCCAGCATCTGCCCACATGGTTTATCGCAGTTAGGTATCGGGTCTTCGCAGGTCTTCCGAGATTCACTTGACATGTCGCGCAGTGCAGTCTTGCCACAAGGGCAGTGGGTGACTACATCTGGAGATCGTGGACAGTGAGGTGCTTCCAGATTCTGTGGATGACACGCCTGTTCGCAAGTGTGCTTTCCACAATCAAAGGAACGACCACACCTGTTAGGGCATTGAAACGAGCCGACCCAGTTCTCTGCCGTACTAGTGCCGTCTGCAGCGACATGCAACTGGCTGCTATTCTTTTCGATTTCTCGGTCATGACACAGAATGTCCTTCTGAACCTGACCACAGTAGCAACGCGCTGGTACCCTCTCTTCACAAGCACCACAAGGACCCTCATGACACGGTCGTTCGCACCGATGCTGTCCGCAAGACATGAGTTCTCCGCAGACGCTACCACAGCTCCAACCGTGCTCGTAATCGGTATCAACGCAACGACGTGTCACTGACTTCTTGCCACAGAAGCAGTGCTGCGTAGGTCCCATCAAACTACAAGGCGGACAGGGTCCAGCGTGGCACGTCGAACCACAGGGATGTGGACAAGGCTTGGGAAGCACTCGTGGTCGTGAGCAAGACTGACCACACGAGAATGGGGGTATACCAGGTGTGGAACGAGGGTCCAGCTCCTTCTCACACCAACAGTGGAAATTCTTTGGCAAAACATCCTTTGGCAAATTGCATCCTGGACAACGCCATTGCCTCGGTGGGGGCGTCTCTCCGTCTTGGGCTTGCTGCCGCGCCGCTGCTGAGCCCTCGTTGGTTGACCATTTCTTGATGCATCCCAGGTGGAATACTGTCCAGCATGTCCTACACGACCAGACGCCCCGCGTTCGTCTCGTAATGTCCTCTGTACAGATGGCGCACTCGTAATGACCGTTGTCGATGTCCTCGTGTGTTCTAGTGGCGATATCGGGGGCCGTCGACTTTGGGGCTTGTGGTTGCTTTTGTTTCGGCGGTCGTGGCTTACGGGTAGGAATCGGTTTGCCTGGTTGAAAGGCAGGTGCGTCTGCTTGTAGCCCTTGGGGCGTCTCTGAGGACACGGATGCAGTGTCATCCTCAACAGTCAACTGTCCACCGAACTGACGGCCACCAGCAGCTATTCGCTGGGGTGGATGCTGTGAGCCACCTCTTCCGCGACCACTGCCTCGTCCTCCACGTCCACCTCTTCCACCCCGGTGTGCCGCTTCCTGTACAGAGGCAGGTACTAGCTCAAGTGCAGCGTTAGGCTGCGCATGGGCTGCTGGACCATTGCGGCCTCCTCGACCACGGCCCCTGCCGCCTCGACCGCCGCCTCTTTGTGACTGCTGTCCTGGTTGTGCCTGTTGCTGCTCTGGCTGTGCGGGTGTGTCTGTGCTGGCATTCGCATTTGTGTTTCGATTCCGTCCACCTCGTCGCCTTTGTGGTGCTCTTGGGACATTTTCTGGGGCCGACGCCGGCGGCTGGGAAGCAACTGTGGGAGTCGACATATTTTGTGGTTCAGAAGTGATTGCGCTGGTGGTTGACAGAATAGTGATCATACAAAGGCCTCGGGGCGGAAAAGAAAGAAAACTGAGTACAATAGCAAGCTCTGGTATTTGTACGGCCTGCTGAACTGGGAAAGGAAACGAACAAGAAAAAAAAGACAGCTTTTGGGGTGTAATGCCGGGGAAGTTTGCAGTGGCGAGCAGTTTATATTGCAGAAACGGCGGGCGCAGGTACGCTAGGATGGCCGTTTCGAGAAGACGCAGCCACCGAGATGAGTCAAGTCGCACTCATTCCTCGGCCAGGCCAGGCCAGGCAGCCAGGCACAACTGCGGCAGTGCGACTCTACAGTATGAACAATCGGGTGGCGCAGTCAGTGTGGATGCGCGTAGCCTTTTGTGGATGGGTGATCGAGGGCGTGTGAATAATTTATGGCGCTTGCCGAATTTCCATTGTCATTTGTTGCATGCATGGGGAGCAAGCGCGTCATAGGGCCTGGCCGCCACTGTGGCTAGTGATCAGCTGTGGCTGAAAGGTGTGGCTAGTGCCGATGCATGGCTGCCGCATCGCGTTTGAGCTTCAGTGAACATCGCGGACAAGCAACCAGACCCCATCAACCCGCCATCCCCCGATATCATCATGGTCAAGACTCTCGCCGGCGCCCTCGTCCTTGCGGCTCTGCCATCGGCCCTCGCATTCCGCAACACGTCGCCATTCTTCCTCTTCTCTACAGCCGAGTACGCCTGCCAACTTCCCGTGCATCCTCACGTCTTCAAGCTAACCACCATGCAGCTTGCTGGTCCCAAACAATGACGCCGCCATCGCTGCATCATCAGACGTCACCGCCGACGTTCTCAAAGCTCTCGAGCACTGCCCCACCAAATCCTACCTCGTTGTTGAGCAGAGGGGCGTCGCCGCTGCCGACTACGCTGATGGCCGCGCTGCACCCCAGCTGAGCAGATACATGGCTGGCAAGCATGCCGAGGTCAAATCGACTGTCGCTATCCCCGACATTGCTGGCAGCGTCGACACGAAAGCCATCACAGAGCACCTTGTGGCCAAGTGCGGAAAGGACTACGACGATGACGACGTGTGGTTCGAGAGGAAGACATTCGCGGCGCCGCCTACGTCCAAGGCGCTTCGCATCGAGCAGCTCCAATCCGATGGTTTGTTTCCACATGGCTGACATGCAGCGCCAAAACTGACCTGTGTAGATGCGACACTCGAGCAATTCATTGTCAATGACGCCAAGGCTGACGACTACACCGTCATTTACATCACCACACCTCAGACCGAGTCGCAAGCAAAGGAGTCTATCCAACAACAACAATACGAGATGGACATGCCTTTCCCAGACGCTGTCCAGATGGAACTCAAGCGCGACCTCTCCTCCCACGCTAAGCGCGCCAACTCGACCAACAACGGCCTGTTTGAGAGATACCAGTACTTCACACCCGGTATCTTCATGGGCTTTGCTGCCATCATCCCGCTCTTCCTGATCCTGCTCGTCGGAATCCGAGCCCTTACCAGTCTCGAAGTTTCGTACTTTGCCTTTAGCAAGGAGATGGGTCCTAATGCCCAGAAGAAGCAGTAGACGGTGTCAGACTCGGGAGCGAACTTGTCAGTGTATCTTGTACGATTTGTGCGTTAGTAAGCATGGGCTGCCGGCGTTTGTATGGATTTTGGATTAGTAGGGAAATACCAAGCTTGACACAACTAGTTTTTGCCTTACCCGTTGGATTTGATTGCAACCTCACAGATGTCTAAGCCGTGCATACCGTGTTTCGCCATTTACACCGTCGGACAGCATTGCGCGTCGTGCTTCCATTGCTACCACACTTGCTTATGGAGCCATACGACTTGCACAAGGGCGGGTCGTTCGGGAACTCTGAGGTAAGGATCATGTCTAGTCGGTTCCCCAACTTTGCCGAGACTTCATCCCATCCGCACCACTCACAATGACGGTGAGCACTAGTTTCAGGAAAACAACCCTATGTATGACACTGATGTATAAGTGTCGTCCCGCCTAGCGGGGTGCACTTTGGTTTTGCTTGAATTGTGACTTGGATGGCAACTAGGGCATCATCGCGTTGGCTATAACTCGATATCTCTTTGCACACCTTTATTCTTTTAGTCCTCCAGCACTCATCAATCAAGAAATTTTAATCAGGCACCTCATTATGGCTTCAGAAAAACCTATGGATATCATCATTCTGGGGGGCGGTATAGCCGGCCTAACCACTGCTCTTTCTCTCACCAAGTTCGCACCAGCTTCTCAGACACCAAACATCACCATCTACGAGATCCGACCTGAACCCGCAACTATCGGCGGTGCCGTGAACCTGACGCCAAATGCTCTTCGTCTTCTGTCACACCTAGGAGCGCTTGACGAAATCCGTGCCCAGGACTATGGCGCAGAGTGTCTTGCCGTAGAAGTCTTCGACCTATACACCAACGTAAAAATTGCCGAATCGTCTTTCAAAGGCCCCGAAGGAAAAGGATTAGGAAACCCACCCTTTACAGCACTGAGAATAACACGAGGCGAAGCCTTAAAAGGCGTCCTTGCCGCCATCGAAAAGCACTCAAACATCAAGCTCATCTGCGGAAAAAAGACCACCAAAATCGACGAAGACTCCACCAGCGTAAGCATCGAATTCGAAGACGGAGGAAATGCAAGAGCCGACATCCTAATAGGCTGCGATGGCATCCACAGCGTTACCCGCCTCAAGCATGTCGAGCCCGAGCGCAAAGCCATTTACAGCGGCATCTGCAACGCCTTTGGCTTTGCTCCCCGTCGCAAAGACCCCAGCACCGGCACCTTCGAACCCACGCATTTCAGCATCAGCGGCATGAACTTTGGGCGCCGCGGCATGCTCCTAACCTCCTTCCACGACCGCGCCCAAGAAAGCATCTATGTTGGCGCTCTCATGCAAGTACCTGAGATCGCCGACCGCAACGGCTGGAAAGCCGCGGGCGCCGATGCCCAGAAAACACGGGATGAGATGCTAGAACGCTACTCTGGGGCTGCGAATCCGCAGATTGCACATTGGATTGAGGATGCGGAGGGGTTGTTTCTTTGGCCTGTTTTCACGCTTACCAAGGGGGGGAGGTGGGCGACGGAGCGGGTTATGCTTATTGGTGACTCGGCACATGCAATGCCACCGCAGGGAGAATCGACAGGTATTGTTTTTGAAGATGGAGTGTTATTCTCGAGGTGTTTGGCAAAGTGGATGCAGACGAGACGGGAGGAGGGTGCGCCGGTTAAGGAAGCGTTTGATGCGTATGAGAGCCTGAGGCGTGCGAGGATCGATGTAGCGTTTGATGAGAGTCAGAGTGTGGTGAAGACAGTTCAGGATACGCCGTGGTTGGGGCATAAAATTAAGATGAACGTTGTACCGTGGTATCTTTGGTGGACGAGGGGGTATCGCGAGAAGCATTTTGTGGAGGATGTCACGATGTGTGATATTGGGTATTGAAGGGAATTCGTCATTAGTATTCATGTTTCCCCCCGCCTCTCTACCAACTAAACGCAACATCCGAAATCTGAAGCCAACTCAGTTGTTTAAACCAATCTTTTTTTTGATACACCGATTGTAGGAAGGAGCTTTCCAGGCCTTAGTGCCGTAGAAGCTTTTTTGTTATCTTCTCCTTACTAGGACTCCTGCACCAATTTCAGAGACAAAAATACAGTGTATCTAGCTACTTCAGTGATAACTATGTATATGCCAATACAACCCCTATTCATTCATGTTTTGAATGAGTTAAACGAGTGTTTTATGTGAGAAGTTCAATGGCTAGAGAAAATGCAGAGTTAGTGGAAACCCGAAAATTCCTATTCTGATGCTACTCGTGTGAGATGCGCAATAAAATCTCCACATAGGATTGCACATTGTTCCATCCCTTGCTTAAACACCCCTCTTCGAGTTACTATTGTTCTCCCGTCCATACCTCGCCACACCATCACTTTGACTTTCAACCTGATTGGCCTTTCTCTTGTTTTCAAGTACTCGGATCAAACATATAATCCTCTCTTCTCTTTCACTCGATTTCTCCATTTTCAACATCAGTGTCTACTCTCTTCACTGTCCGGACTTGTTCGCTATTCACTGGTCTGTATCCGCTACTGTGCCTCTCCTAACATTCTCCTGAAAATCCTCCCTTTTACGAAACACAATACAACTACTTAAATATCAAAACGCGCCAAAACAACAAAGACCAAAACTCCACAATGCGCCCCTACTTCGACGCTTCGGAGCTCCCTTCTTTCCGCACCCTATCAGCCAGCCACGAAACCCGCAGCTTCCACACCTCCACCGCCCTCCAAATAAACTGCGTCCTCGCCCTCTCCCCCACATCCTCGAAGACTCCTACAAAAAAGACCCAACCCCTCCCTCACACCAGCAATTCCTCTGCAAACTCCTCTACCTCATCTCGCCCAACTTAAACCCTCCCCCCATCTTCCGCACCTCAGATAATCTTCTCCCCAACCGCCTTCCCAAAATAATCAAAGCAATATATGCCTCCGAGAAAACTGGTCCCCATCCACTTCCACCACGCGCTGCTCCCGAAACTAACCCCGTACTTGGCCAGTTGTGTAGTAAACCACGCGGTTTCGGCTGCATGCGCAATGTACAGGAAGTAGTAGACGAAGTTTTTCGTGTAACGCAGGTACCGCGCCACTGTCGCTGGAAGGACGGTTGAGGAAGGGAGAAGGAAGGAAGGGGTGGGGAGGGCGGCGAGGACCATTACCACGCCGGCGAAGATGATTTTGTTGCGTTGGGGGGCGGGTGGGAAGATGTAGGTGTTGTTGAGAGATTTGGGGGCCATGATTTGTGTTTAGGTTCTATTGGGCGATTGTTGCGATGGTTTTTGTTGGTGATTGCTGAAGTGAAGTGAGAAAAAAAAGCTTGGCGCTGTTATTTGGTTGTTGGCGTTTTACGGTTTGAATTGGGAGTGGGAGGAGAAATTTGGTGGAGAAGGGGGTTCGGCTTGATTTACGTGTGCGGATGTTGATGGCGATATTATATTGCGGACTAAAATTGACGGGTGGATGGTGAGGTTTTCTGAGGGTGGTTTGTAATAGGGCGGGGAAGAAATTGGAGACGTAGTACTACCGAGGTTCTGGGGGTTTGCACCTGCATACGAAGCTGGACGAGGGGTTTAGATGTTTTGAGGGGGTTTAATGGCGCGGTCGATTTAGAATGATGTATTGAATTGGATCTTAGGTATAAATCTTTGGATTTTCTTTGGTGTTTTCGTTATTCTTTCGATTAATGGCATGTCTTGTTACCGGCGGCATTGAGAGATCAGCATACTGCCGGCGCTAAGTAGTGGCTGCCTCGTATAACATTCAAGTGGCGCAAGATACTTTTCGGATGATGGCCAGTAGCGATGCTGTCGGCGCCGTAGTCGAAGCTTATGAATAGTTGCATTGAGGGGCTTGCTGCTTGGTGCTTCATTGGTGGGCAAAGAAACTCAAGCCTGAAGTTCGGTGACTAGTTATCTTTTATTTGTAACGACAAGTGGAATGTCATACGACAAAGAAATACCTTGATGCGACGAGTCCTGTATGCCAATTTTGGATTATGGTGTGATCAACATGGGATATGCAATGCACCGACACGGGCTGTTCCGATGGAGCGCAGCGCTGATCCCACAGCCGTTCTCCTCCTAAAGCGTATCATCTTTTCTCCACAAGAATAAGGCATGAGGTGAAATAGAGCGGATCTTAGATGAGACATTGAGTGTTATGTAGAGAAAGCCGTCCAACGAACTACTTGCCAAAATACCTTCGAAGCCAGAAGACGTAATTCAAGAGATGTCTAAATGAGGCTTCGGCATCTATATTCCAGGACAAATCTCGAGCCAGTCAAGAGAATACAATTCTCTGGATCATAAAATCGTTGTCGCACAAGAGCAACTACCAAGAAACCACTCAAAACCACGAGTCATGTAGACTCACCGGTAGCTCGCTGAAGCAAAAAGGCTACACAACAACCCCAAGAGCCGCAACCTCTCAATAACGCTTACCGAGAAAGAAAACCAGAACCCAGCGCAACCAATAGCAGTAGTAATAGTACCAAAACTCCCTCAAGAAACCCACATCCCAGTAGTAAGTGATTGGTCTAGCCTACGCACATGCACACACTACTACCAAGTCTCCAACCCAACATGTTCAATTTCCTCATGCGGTAAATGCAGCATAACAACCATTGATTCCTGGAACGGCTGCAAACACCATACTAAGGGCCGTAAAAGGGCATGCAAGCGTAGCTAGCCAGCTCCCCAAGCGGGCGGGAAGGGGGGAAAGGGTACGACGTCATTGGTTTGCTGGGCTAGGGGGTGGAGGGGACCGGTCGGCTGCTGTGGAACGGGGGCGGCGGGCCACCATCTATGCGGCCGGCTTGGAGGGGGTTGTTGGTGCGTAAGTAGCATGTGGTGCTAACCGGAGATTGATAGAAGAAAAAATATTGACCCTTGGAAGTGCAGGTCGTGGGTCTGGTGCGAGGAGGGGGGTTGCGGTGCTAACCGCTTGCGTGTGTGGAGGTTGGGGTGGGACTGGGTTTGGATGGGGAGTTTGGTGTGAGAAGGGAGTGTTATTGGAGATGTGTGGGAAAGTTTTTTTTCTGTTGGTCTTTTCAGGTGAAGGTTTTGCTTCTTACATGCATGTACGAGAGGAGGGTAGTTGAGGCGGAGCTACGCCGAAGCGTGCAGTTACCATGTGAGTGTGTGTGTGTGCAACCTTTTTCGAAGGCATTAATACATGACGTTATGTTTTTTTTCCTTTTTCCCTTTACCAAAGCCGACTCCTTCATCTATCTCTTACAGGTCAACATGCATCCTAGTAATAAAACGGAAGGTTTACAACCATCCAACAAGACTTTACTGTAAGTTACATGTGCACAAGTACCATCCCACCCCACATATGACGGGCATAACAAAAGACACACCCTACGGCAAAGCAAGATTCCACGCACACGGCAACACTACGGGCCAAACCCACACATACCCGGTAGATACAAATGCAGATGCATGCGCCCACACCCTCTACGCCGGGCGCCTCCGCCAGCCGCCAGCCTGCGGAAAGCCATTTGCCCGGCCTGCGCGCGCCGGCACGTGCTAATCCAATGCCGCCATCACCCACACACACACACACACACACACACACAACCGGCAGCCTGCGCCCCCCCCCCACCAACGGCGAGCCCGCCCCATTAGTCTCCTGCACACAATTCACTTTAAACCACAAGTCATGCCGCTCCCCAAGCCCCCCCCCTTCAAAACAGGGAATATCCCCCCAGAGGATACGCCCTGGCTACGCGATACCCACACGGGCTAAGGGTCCGGTGTTGCGCATTGCATATCCTCCTTGCTGGCGGAGGGACCTCGCCGTACGGGCCAATGGCTGTGTGACAACGCCGAGGGTGGGTGCAGGAGAGAGGCGAGGCCAAGAGGAATACGGGGCTGTTCATGGATGATGCCTTGAGGCTCACAGCGATCGATAGGAGTTGTGCAAAATTGCTTGATGGGGAAATATTGGGGGTGATGGGAGAGAAGGTGGAGCGAGATGTTGGCGAGAAGAATTGATTCATTCGTTCACTTGGGGGGTTTTTTTTGTGTGGATTGCTTTGGAAGAGGTTATGTACATGGAGACATTGCGATTCTGAATATTTACAAGAGAAGGCAGAAGAGATGTTGCGCTTATTGTGTCACACGTTTCTGGACCCGGTCCTTTTCCAACAACACCACTGTTGCCGAATTCCACCATTTCGCAACACAACGGAGATCTAGACGGTGGTGACGTTCTTGCCGTTGAGCACGTCCAAGAAAGCCGTGTAGGCGGGCTTCTTCTGGAAGTTGTCGTTCCACAGCAAAGCCGAGCCCTCGCCGTTGAACGTGCCAGGAACCCAAGAGTACTTGTCAGCAATTCCCTAGTACTCGTCAGCATTCCAGTTTCAATCACAAAAAACTCTTCTCTTTTACTGCGCCCAGAAAAGGCGGATCCGTGTAAAAGAGAAATAGAAAGGCAGGAGGAAAAAGGGAATCAGACGTACCCAAATAGTCATGCCAATACACCTCTGCACATTAATACAGCTCTGCGCGACTCTCGCCCACGCCGCCGCTGCATCCGCAAGTTTCTGGCTGTTACTCGGGTTCTTTGATCGGATATCCAACTCGGTGTACGCAACATCGACATTCAAATCAGCGTAATCCTGCAGCACCTTGGTCAGGACCTGGACGCTGGGCGTCACGTCGCTAGCCGTGTTCGTAGGCTCAGACACCAAGTGGCCCTGCAGACCGACGCCGTCGATGCGGACGCCCCAGGACTGGATCAGCTTGACGATGCGGAGGGCGCCGGCGTGCTTGGCGGTGCCGTACTCGAGGTTGTAGTCGTTGTAGTAGAGCTTTGCAGATGGGTCGGCGGCAGCGGCCATGCGGAAGGCGATGGGCATGTATTGTTCGCCGATGAGGCGGAGGAAGACGTTGTTGCGGTTTGTGCCGTCTTCGTTGAGGGCTGCGTATGTTTGTGTGAGATTTTGTGCAGACGGTCAAAGTTGTTGGGGGTTGAAAGGGAGAAAAGATGGAAGTTACCTTCGTTGACTACATCCCAGTGAGTGCACTTGCCACGGTATCGGCCCATTACCTGCTTGATGTGGTTCTCCATCACGCTCATGAGTGTGGCGTTGTTGTTGATCTGGTTGACCCAGTTTGGGAGCTGGCTGTACCAGACCAGCGTGTGGCATCGCATTTGCTTGCCATTCTGCGTGGCAAAGTTTGCAATGGCATCGGCATTGCCCCAGTTAAATTGGTTGCGGTTGGGCTCAGTGGCATCCCACTTCATGGCGTTCTCAGGCGTGATGGAGCCGAATTCCGAGCTGCGGATGATGTTTTGCTCCGTATTGTCGTTGCGGATGGTCAATGAGGTGCCGATGTAAGAGCGGCCTCGAGCACGGAAAGCAGCATCGAGAGCGTTGGCTGTTTGCCTGACTGAAAGAGGTGTGCCAGAGGCAACACTGGCGAGCGCCAGGGCGGTGGTAAGAATTGAGAAATGCATCGTTGACTGAAACTCGGTGAAGTTCTGTCCTTTCACTTTGTGGCATCGTTTTCCTATTTATACAAACGTACTCATCACACTTGATGGTGGGCGAACTCTTGGTTCCTAGTAACTCTTCATCTACACGTTACCCGACTCGATCTGAATAACCGTCTTGTCATGAATACGAGAGTGGAGTTCCCCATATGACCGTTTTACATAACGGCGATCACAGTGCTTAGACTAGGTGTGGATACACCATGTCTCCAATCGTATTTTGCCCAGCCAGTCACCCTTATTTAGACCCATAAATCCCCAGAGTCAGGAGAATTGAGCCAACTGTAACTACTGTCTACAGCTCTTAAGATTGCCACGTATAACGCAGACCCGAAAATATAGCTGTGCTAAAGACAGGGACGCGTTCTGGTTGGCATGGAAGACGTTCGACAACTTTCTGTTATTGGTTGGGCAATTATGATTGCAGGCATTGTGTAAGTGTGAGTATATGGGGTAGTGTGTTTTGCATCGGGCAAGGCGTCACATGGGTCTTTTCGGACATATTAAAAGATGCGTCTGAAAAACAACCGATGGGCTTGGTATCCAACTCATAGTAGTGCGGGGAAAGGGCAAAGCTTTAGCCCTGGCTTTTAGCCTCTTTATCCGCTGCTATCTCGCCCAGCACCATAGCCGTACGTCTGCAAGGAACCGTTATGGAAAACAACAGCGAAAGGCTTGTTTGCAACCCTGCTAGCTTTTTACGCCTTGGATTCGGGGCAAACCATCAGGCCTTGAAGACTGGCTACACCGCCAGTAACCGTATATTTACCGAGCTGTTTGATGTCAAAGTCGAACCGGCGGATAATCTTCATCAGTTAGTATTCGTATATGTGAGGCATCATCTGCCTTGCAACGTACCTCTGGCAGCAATTTATGCGACTCCAGTATTGCCACGTCTTTACCCAGGCAAACCCGTGGTCCTGTCCCAAATGTAAATTGAACTGCTTCCATGTCGAAACTCCTTTGCTGGCTTTCTAGCCACCTCTCTGGTTTAAATTCGTTGGCGTCTTCTCCGTAGAATTCCTTGTTTCGCTGAATCGTGTACGCAAAGTTCGTAACGTCAGTACCGCCGGGCACAAAGTGGCCGTCGATGACTTTCCCACCCTTTGGAACTTCTCTGGAGAACAGGTTAACGGCTGGAGGCCCAAGACGTAGACTCTCCTTGATAATTGCTCCAAAGTACGGGAGATGCTGCTTCATCTCATCGTAACGGATTGGCGTGGAAAGAAGGCCCTTTGAATCAGCTGCTTCAATCTCTGCTTGTGCTCTTTCTAGGACCGAAGGGTTGGTGAGCATGAACTGAAGCGTCATACCCATTGCTGTGCCCGTCGTGTCAGCTCCAGCTAGGATAAGCAATGTGACATGACTGAGCTTCTGAAGTGGGGTCAATGGAGAGCCATCCGAGAAGCGAGCTTCTAGGCAGCTAATTATGCTTAGTAGGCTGCTCTATACGCAATCTTCACATACGACTTACTGTTGCAAGAAGTCTGGCTTTCCCTGGAATTTCTCCTCGGCAATCAGCTTCTCACGAGCAGCCACCTGCCTTTCTGCCTCTCCCATAAGCCAGCCCATTCCTGCCTCGTCAGCGGTAGATGGAAGAAGCAGTTTCCCCATAATAGGAAGAGGCAACAGCTTCTCTCGGAGAAACTTGAATCTTCCTGTGAAGCCGAAGATGGGAAGACCCTTGCGAAAGTTTCCAATCAATCCCCTCTCATCGCGCTGGTTTTTGATGCTGCCAAAGGGCTCCGAGAACGATATCATGCCGAGAATGTCAGCTGCAAACTCGGTCATCTTGTCGGATAAACATATGATGCTTTTGGCCTCGGCATGTTCATGCAGCTTGGTGATAAAGAGTGTAATGAGTTCGTCGAAGCGTGATTCCCATGCGTTCTTCAGCGGACCAATAGTCCACGGACCATTCGACAAAGCTTTTCGCAACGCACGATGTTCTTCGCCGTCTACAATCGAGACCAGGTTCGGGGGGCCTTCGGTACGCAAAGTTAATACGTGAATGGTGTATGGTTCACACCTACACTAACCTAGTGCTCCGGATTGATAGACTCCACCCTTGATATTCATCTGGTTATCTCGATAGATGTCTTTCATCGAAGATGGTCGGCAGAAGAGGAGCACATAAGGAGATATGCGAATAGGGTGTTCCGCTATGGTATGTTAGACCTTTGTTACCGTGTGGGACCTGGGAGTCACCTTACTTCCGTACACTTTTTCGAGATGCGCAATCCACTCGGGTTCCTTGCGAAGAATCGAGATCATGGCACCCACGATAGAGAATGAAGTCGCATACCATGGCCCATGGAACTTCGAAAGTGGATGGAGCTTTTGCATGTAGAAGATGCGCCATAGTGTTGCTGTAACCATTATCCCAAGCGATAAAAGCCCAAGGTTGAGCGGTTTTTCAGCGAACTCCGCCAACGCTAACATCGCCATGTTTGTTGAGATGTAGATATTTAGAGTTCGGAAGTGCCTTCAGGTACTATTTCGGTGTTCCTGGGGTTTCTGGGTGAGATCAAGAATCAAACGCAGCTTGAACTTATAATCTGGGTTACTCCTCACTTAAAAGGCGCACCTACTACTTACACCTGCATATTGTGATTTGTGGATATGGATATCTTTTCCCCACAAAGTGCTGATTCAGCTATGTAAGTTGTTCAGTTTCAAGGCCCGCTGCGCACATGTAGACGTCCAGTTGATAGGCCGACTCGCGTCGTACAAGGGGCCTGACATACAGCAACTTGCCAAACTTGGGGACGGAGACTTTCCAAATGGGATATTCCATGCCATCGAGATCCACTTCTGTTTGGCCACATCGGTTAGCATGTTGAACACTGCATCCACCGTCGCTGATTTGCCAGCACCTATGCAGGGATTATATGCAAGATATGTGGGAGGATTCCAAAGGTGCGCATCACGCCGGACTGGCCCGTAGCGTTGAGATGTATCCAAGGCTTGGTTCTCTGGTCAGTGAGCGCTTAGATAGCAATGCCGAACATACATGCATATGCGTATTGTCTATCCTGGTGTACGGGTATAGGATGACGACAAATGAACGAACGAAGAGGGTGTAGTAATTTGCCCTGTCAGGAAACATGTGAAGCCACCATCTCGCTGAAGGATCTCAAGGCTGACATTTTGTCGTTTGATTGGATACATCGCCATGTGAATGACTGGTTGGGACACGACTTGCTATCATGTGTTGCGATGAATCGTTCGCCAAGTCTCGTTCAGGTCTGTCAGTCTCGGGAGGCGTCCCGAGTTCTAGAGCCTATCAGTCTTTGAAGCCGAGCCGAAGTGGGTGTTGCATCATGTTTAACGCGGATTTTTGATAATAGGAGCCAGCACACTTGCCTAGCTTTCGGCCAGCCGGGCTTTCGGCTAGAAATGTGCTCAGTTATTCTTGGCTTAGGCTCGTAGGCGCTACAAACACCTCCAGCAGCCTTTGCAGCTACTCCACGTAGTTAGCTACCAATTGAATTCACTCGGTATTATTCATATGCTTGGATGTACCAATGCACTGTACGAACAAACTGATTTATCAAGAACGTCTCTGCTTCTCTCGTATCAAGCTTTCTTTTTGAATGCTGGTCTTCCAATTGCGATGCTGCAAATGGACGAACTTCCTAAAAAAAAAAGTGGAATAGCGACAGATTGTTCTCATTGCCAAGGTGCTCGACTTGCACACTACAATCACTTTTGCCCATTTTCCCCGAATCATTTCTTCCATATTGCTGAGACCGCTACGATGTATTGGCAGATTAACGATACATGAGAATATTCATGTGAGTTTCAATGATCCATGTAGCTCAGATGTGATATACGAAACAAACGTCCTGCTTGCACTGAAGTTCCACAAGAACTTTTGAGTGAATGGATGGAAATTGCAAACAGTATTTGGAGACAGGTTGTCAGAGAGTAAGTAGTATGGTGGAAGAGGCCGGGGGTTCAGTTTCCCAGAAGCGATATCAGCTGCGACATAAGTAATTCAAAGAATGGCGTTTGTTTCTGAAGTGGTACCTCTATTGAATCTCAACATCAAAGCTGCGCGGTCCGAGTATATTAACTTCATTCCAATCGCTATTTGGCTACAAAGTTGATAATCTTGAACATGTATAGCTTGGTGGCATATTGTGTTTCGGTGAGATATGTGGAACTAGTCGGCTAACTTTAAAACAGGTATGAGGCCATCAAAGTTATTCACACGTAGGGTGTATAGGGATAGAAAAGCTCACCTCTATCTCACCTTGACATCTACAGTTTCGGCTCCGAAGAGTGGGGTTCCGGGAGAGTAAGCATATAAGCCTTTTACCCCGCAGAGGCATATCTTGTCCTCAAACTATCCGCTATGACTGAGATCAATCCGCTCGATGTGTTGGCCATAAAGAATGTGGTATCACGTTACTGCCAAGCACTTGACTCGAAAGACTTCGATATGTTAGACAGGGTGTTCGTTCCAGATGTTGACGCGAACTATCCCTTCAACAACAGCATGAAGAGCGTGAGCGAAGTGAAAGACGCTATCAAGAACCGGTATTACTTTGACCCTCTTTGTGATTGTGTAGTATGTCAGGATCTAAATGTCTTAGTCTCGGACCAGTCCGCACACACCATAGCCTTACAACGCAAACCATCACTTTCAGGCCTGATGCGCGCACGGCGCAAGTGGAGACATACTTCCAGGGAGTGCATGTAAGTGATGGTTGAGATATTCTCTCATAATGCCGATCTGCTGCCTTCAAAAAACCTTTCGCTTACAGTTCGTGTACGTAGTTTGGACAGGGCCCACATGAGGGCAAGATGCTGTGCGCATACGGCAAGTATATCGACAACGTGGTGCTGCTGAAGGCAGAAAATGATAATTACGAGGGTAGGTGTTTCTTTCAAACAAATCTGTATGAACCATGCGCTTATTAACACCCGCGATTCTAGGTGTGCGCGGTGCGAGCGGAATTTGGAGAATCACGAACAGGACGGTGACCTTTACCCAGAGGATTGGTGATGAGAAAATTATGCAGGAGCATTGATTATGATGACAAGATCTTTTTCTCGAAGAGAGAATTACCATCGAAGCTCTCTTGCCTTGGTATCCTGCAAGCGAAGGACGTCGAGGCGTGTTACCTCTCTTAGAAAGTTCGTATTGACGGCCACGTGCGTGACGACACTGCGCCTTCTCTCTGGTCCTTTCGTCTACAGACAGCTTCTGATAACCACGCAAAATACACTCTATACTTGTACCATCGCCATCGTTATCGTCAACCGTGTCACAGTCATACCATCGTTTGATATAACATCATAATCTTACTAACATCAATATCATGGCTCCTAAGAAACGCCCGCTACCATTCAAACCCGTCAGTGCAGGGAAAGCGAACTTCGAAGGGCAAAGAGCTGCCATTCGACAGAATGTGGAGATATTCAAGACCAAGGAGGACCATCACCGTAGGATTTTCAAATATCTCGTGGCGGAGCTATATGCTCGGAGCGAACGCCAGGGAGATGACGACATCACAGCAGAGCAACATGATATTGTGGAAAGACTCAGAAGCAACGCCAGTGATTTCAACTTGCTCTATGGTGGGGATAGCGACTTTGAAAATGGGAGCGAAGAAATGGTTGATGCTGAGGAAGAAGCCTATTTGATATCTCAAAGAGACGAGGTCATTCAGCAAGTCCTCGAGCAGCTCGATAAACCTATAGTCATGCGCGTGGATGTCGAATCATCATCTTCTCCGGAAACAATTATTCTCGAAGAGCCGGAGATCTTGGACACAACCGAAAGTTTCGAGGCACAGTATACGGATGACGAAATGGGGATCATATGTGGCCTTGCCGATTTGACCGGCGCATCATATCATCGAGCTGAGCAGTGTTTATCCGCAACCCACTGGGATCTGGAACTCGCTCTATCATACCTTGAAGAAGACCGACTCGCTTCGAGTACTGGAGGCCTTACAAATGATCAAAGTGATGCCTTGATCAAATTCATTCAGGATAGGCCCGTACAGCATGTATCGGTGGGATCGAGTGATGGTGCAAAAGGATGGGCTCTGGGACCGCAAGAGAGCGTCAACTTGATCGCGGCACTTAGGATCAAGTTACAGCATGCCAAAGAGCAGATCGCCGCTGAATACCCACAAAACGAGGAGTTTGAACGTGCCGGCAGTAAAATAAGAGTAGAAGAGGTAATTGGGGAGACTGACTCAGGCTCGTCACAGATTGAAGCTGCATACACTGCACCAGCGAACAAGCTAGATACCACAAAGAAAAGAAAACCCAGAATGCGAAAAGGCCTGTCTCACTCTGGCCAACCTCTATGGCTCGATGCTGCAGACAACGTCATTTCCTGCGCCGGCTCCCAAGGCACACCATACCAACAATACCTCCAAATGCGACGCCGTCTCCAAATTCAACATTACGGACACGAAACCATTCCCTCCGACGACCCTCATCGCGGCATACCGACAAGAGAACGATGTCCACCACCTTTTGTACAAGAAGTATCCGACGACGAAGGAGATGACAATGCCGTTTTCTTCGAAGAAGAAGACCCAACCAACGACCTCCAGGCCATCATAGATGTCATTCTCGCCCAAGAAGCAAAGGAAGCGAAGGAAGCAAAGGAAGCGAAGGAAGCAAAGGAAGCACAGGAAGTCGCGAAAAAAGTCAAAGCCGCGTAGCTCGCGCATGTCGAAGCCCTCAATAGAACTGTCAACGACATTTCCGGAACAGGCGATGAAGTAGACTCTGTAATCGGCGATGAGGCAGACTCGGTGATTAGCAGCCTAGAAGGAGACACGCGGGTCAACTCTCCTGTTAGCGGCAATGAAGGCCAAGATGAACTCACCATAACTCCCGCGTTAAGAGATCTATCACAGCCCAAGAAACTCTACATGAGGGTCCGGTTTAACCTCGGCGGTGGCGTCGAAGTCGCGCCGGGTGAGGTGAGCAATGAGGCTGCTGAAACTGAGGAGTTAGAACAGGAGGGGCAATTGGAAGAGGAGGGGCAGGTGGAAGAGACTGAGCGGGTGGAAGAGACAGCAAAGGGGGAAGAAATAGAGCAGGTTGAGGAGGAAGAGGAGGGAGAGAGAGGGAGGCGTGGGATGGGACCGGAACGGGAGAGGACGGCGGATGAGATAGAGAAGAGGAGGAAGTTGTTTGTTTCCGAGGAGGAGGATGCGTGGGATGGAACGTTTAGTGATGAGGAGTTGGATTTGGACGAGGGTATGGACGAGGAGGAAGAAGAGGAAGAAGAGGAGGGAGAGTCAGCTGGTGATACTGAGATCGGGATGGATGATGAAAAGGAGAGTGAGGTCGAGCGAGGTAGGGAAGAGTATCAGGGCGAGGGGCAGGGGGCCTAGAAGAAAGAGAATGAAGGAGAAGTAGGCAAAGAGAAGGAGGATCAGGGCAGAGTCGATGAATTGATGATGATTGAGTGAGGTCTGTTAGAGACGTGGTTAGCAATAGTCTTAGGGCATCCATTGCGCGAGTCTAGTCATTTTTCTAGACGCGAAATCAAAGGGTTTCATATGAACGTGTATTTTCGTCCGATGCATTGCCTCATCATTGTCACGATAATCACTATGATAGCAGTCCGAAGCACTGGTTCCATTGATGGGTACAGAAAGAGGTAGCTGTATTTGCAAACAATGCACGGGTATTGACTACGTATCGGTAGTGAATCATCAAAAAAGAATCTATACAGGGGGAGACCGCGCCAGTAATGTAGGTATGTTTGGAACAAGAGCCATAGGATAAGGCTCTAATTGCGTCTCGTCTGTCGTCCTAATGTCCTCCATTTCTTCAATCTGAGAGCATATTCTTGTGCATAGTGAAATCCATTCCTATACGCAAGTCGTCTCTCAACAGAGCCCCTTACTCGCTGTCCATGAACTCAACCATGACACTTGCGCCCTTAAGACCAGCAGCTTCGACCGTTTCGTCCAGATGCTCGATAAGGTTCTTGCCCATGAAAGAAAGATCAAACTCGGCGCCTTGCTTGCCCTCCCAGGGTACATCAGACTTGATCCATTCGTACACGCGGCGTACAGGATCTGCGAGGTTGAATCGGCGGACAATGGGTCGACCTGATGGGCCTCGGAACTGGATGCGTGTGGTTACCTTTGGGTCGGTAACTGTAGGCTCTGTGTGAGGAGCTTGTGCGGAAATGGCGGCAAAGGCTGGATTTGACGGAGCAGCCTCTGGCTCTGGCTCTGGTGCAGCTTCTTCGGCCTTGCCCTTGCCCTTGATGTTGTCGGTCGATTTAGTGAGAGCATCCGGATCGTCTTCCTGTGGGCCTTTGCCATTCTCCAAGCTGTTTTGCAGTGCCATCTCTAACATCTCCTCCTCAGTCATGCGGTTGACGTCCTTTTTCTTCGACTCTGACTTTCGCTTCGCCACTGGGTTCTTCGCATTGACATTCAAGCTGTAGCGGTCGAGGAACTCGTGAAGCTGGGCGTGGAACTCGACGGCCTCGGGTATCGGTGGGCCTGACCATACTTTGACCTGTTCACCAGTTCGAGGGTCGACAATGGCGATGTGTGGGTAAGCATCTGAGCTGTCGCGAGCGTGGAAGTAGTAGTTCATGTACTGTTGTCCACGCTGATCGTCCTTTGCGTACTGCAGGAAGATGAAGTTCTCGCGGACAGTCGCTTTGATGTCTTCGTTCTTCCAGATGTCTCTGTTCAGTCGCTGGCAGTCGAAGATTGCAGGATCCTGAATGTTAACGAGGAGCCACTTCTCTTCATCCTTGCCCATGTCGCGTGCCTTCTCCCACGAGCCCTGATACATTATTTCAAATGGTGGCCGGAATAGCTCTGCGAGCATGTTCATCTTAGAAGACTGCTCGGACGCACCTCCCGTTGCGGTCGCGAGTTCTCGTCGCCGCGTGCTCGAATCTGTGCTAGCGTCCCAGACGTTCGTGTGGGTTGTGTGTTGGTTGAAGATACCAGCGCGGCCTAAATTTGAATGGGTCAGTCAATTGTGAAAGCGGCATGCGAGAAGTGCGGCATACCAGTTCGGCGACGAGCCAGCTGTTCTTGCACTAGAGCATCTATATCCTCCTCTTCGTCGGCAGGGCCCCAATTGGAGCCAGGACCGACCAGGGTCTCTGTCGTCCGTTGCATAGGCGCGCGAACTTCGTCGACGCCAGCTCCTCCAGGTCCACCACCGCCGTACATCTCCTCTTGTAACCGCCGCGCCATGGCCTCGTCGTCCTCGACACCAGGTTGACTTCTTGAAGGCTGGTTTGTGCCCGAAGGAGTGGCATCGAAGTCCATGTCATCGTCGGAATCGATATTTATAGGATTCTGTGCGGTGGCGGCTGGGGCAGGTTGTGATGGTGCGGATGGAGTGAAGTCGAGCCCCGGGGCATCGAAGAAGAGTTGTATAGCCTGCTCAAAGTTGCCATCGGTCAAGCGCAGATACTGCGCAGCCTTTTCAGGATCACACGAAGTGATGCTGCAGAAATTGAGCACGGATTCCTCATCCATCTTGGGCGCGTGTTTGCGTTTTGCTCGCCAGTGATTACGTCTAACGAGAAATACCGGGCGTAGGGCCGTGTGTCTGAGGGTCTGGCGCAATAAATGAAATGCTTTGCGAGTACGGAAAGCTATTCCGCGGAGGCTGCTTGGGTCTGGAGTGTGAGGTTACAAGGGAGGACGCTGAGAAATTCCGTGTGGCGGTTGCGATTGAGGTGCAAGTAAACCGTGGCGGGGCAGAGTACTATGTACCTTTCAAACTTTCCGATCAACAATAACCGGACACCCTGTACCCACGCAAAGGGGTGATAATGTACAAGTAAAGGAGATCCTTCGGTAAGAGCGGATGCACTGCACAAGGTGAGGTTTGTGTGCGGTGCGTGTCGATATGACTGCTGGGCGGATGGTGACAGGCACAAGCTCGGCTTGTTTGGCTGTTCCGGTACACAGAAACCGTCGCGGGGCAAACTGTCACCAAAGGAGGCGAATTGCAGTTCTGGATGTGGTTGTAGGAGGGAATTAGAGTAAGAGACGTCGACTGTAAGAGAATCACGTCGAAGACGCGGTGCGTTTGTCCACAACTAATGCAGGCAGCGGCGAGTGCGTCATTCGGGACCCCGTGCGGCAGACCCCTGTCGCCTCACTGGTGAATGTCCGATACACGACATGTGGCAATCACCGCGAATACACTACGCCCCTCTTGGCCTCTATCCCCGTCGGGTCGTCCGTCTTTCTCGCCAGCCGACAGGACACGTCCTCCGTTTCTGCCTGTCGTCTTTGCCATATTTAGGCCTCTGGTTTGATCGCCAAAAAAAGCCGTTTGCGTCTGCATCACCACTACCACACGCCAGCCGATTTTCAACATGGCGGCAGAGCTAACTCCAGAAGCCAAAGAGCTTTCGCTGGTGGGAAAGGTTGAGATGCGCATAGCACTTGCCAGCTCAGACAAGAAACTTGAAGACTTGCTCAAGACCTATCTTCCGCCGCTGCTATTGAAGCTCGGGTCGGAAAGTGCTGCTGTGCGCAATAAGGTAAGAGACTTGATCATGAACACATTCTGTGGCCCCTGTTTCCCTTGGTCGCCGCTGATAGCGGGTTTCCTAGGTCATTTCCATTTGCCAACACATCAATACGCGCATCAAATCACAGTACGCATCTCTTGTTCAATATAATCGCCGAGATCTTTTAGCTGACACAATCATACAGAGATATCAAGCTCCCAGTGAGTGCTCTTCTAAAGCAGTACAAAGAACATGGGCATGTCGCCCTCATTCGGCATTTCGACATCCTGTACATTCAACAGGGCATATCGCGTCTTTCCGTAGCTGAACGGTTGGAACTTCTCCCGGTATTACTTCAAGGTATCGCCAAGGATTACGAGAAATCTGAACAACATACCTCTCAACTGTTTCATCTTATTCTGCGCCTTTTGGTCCTCTTCAAATTACCTCTCCGAGGTAGTAAAGAAGACGACGAGCTGAGAGCCAAATTGGGTCTCTCCGATGATGACGCGCAATTTTTATCCAAGTGGTTTGGAAAACTACTTTTGTTGACTATTGTTCGAACAAGCAACCCGCAAGATACCGCATCTTTAAAGTGTCCTGGGCTTTCGTCTGAAGAATACAAGTTCCTTACACTTCAAGGAAAGCCAGATGCTTGGGATCCTAGTGCAGATGCCGGTCTGAATCTGCCTGAATCAAAAGCCTTAGTTGCGCGACTCATGGCAAGTGGGTTGTTCAATGATGACGAAAAGTTCTTGCCGGCACTATTTGCATCTGCTGATACCAACTCCCGGATATCTGAGGTTGGCGAGGATACTTTGAAGCGCGTCATGTTATCCAAAGATATGGAACAACCGGAACTTGTAGAGAGTTTATTCGAACTCTACTTCGGCTCTAGTTCAGCTGGCGGGTCGCTTCCCGTAAAGACACCGTTGCGCATCAAGATCTTAACTGTGCTCTCCAAGTCTGTGAAATGCACAACGTACCCACGACAAATAGCAAGGATTGTTGAAGAAGGCCTCCTCTCGCCTGAGCTGAATGCGACCAACAAAACCGCTGGAAGAGAAGCTTCGAAGTTCCGCTCAGCTATATTTTCTCTTGTCAACTTTGTCGCCCGACGTGGAGCAGTATCGGATTTATCTCAAGTTGCTGAGAGTCTTGTTGGAAATCTGAGGGCTTTCATTCAAGACCAAGGCTGGCCAACCCCAGATCGCGACCAAGATATGGAGCTTCGGGGCTACGGCTATGAAACCATTGGACTCTTGGCCAAAGCTGCCCCAGAAAAAATACTATTGGAGCCATCGCTTGATCTTCTGGAGTTTCTGTTCCGATCATTACGTGAAGATTCAGCTGGCAAAGATGTGGCGGTTAGTATAGAAGAGGCCCTTTCTTCTGTGCTTGGAGCGTTCTCAAAACCGTTCGATGCTTCAATTATGCCCAGGTTCAGACAAATACTGCTCCGATATGCTACTGTAGATCAGGAAAATACACCAGCCTCGGACAGATTCACGAGAAGTACTCGTTATGTCGCCACACGTTTCGCGAATCGCTGCCTTCCCTACGCAGACGTCCTTGCGCGATGGATAGACATCCTTGCTGTTAGCGGGGGTCCAAACGATCGACACGAATTGATAGAGGAAGGAAGGCGAGGCCTTGACCCCTATTGGTTCAGAATGTCCAACACTCCACCAGGTGAGCGCGAGCAGACCAAATTGGTTTTTCCAGACTTTGACAAACTGGTCAACTTTGTCATTGCGCAACAAGGGCAAGATGCCGACGCGATGGAAATCGACCCGTCAGAAGACCCTCTTGTCCAAGTTAGATACTTCCAACAAGAATTCCCAAGTACCCTCCCGACCGTCATCAGCTTTTGCTCTAGCG